TTGGAGAGGGATGTCATGCTTGGGAGAGTAGAGGGACAGCACAGGAGAGGAAGAGCCTCAGTGCAATGGATTGATTCAGTGACTGGGGAGCAGGTGTGTCAGAGACAATAAGATTTGCACAGGATAGAGCAGGGTTTAGAGCTGTTGTATATAGTGTCACTATGAGTCTCAGGAGACTTGACAACACATACCAACAACAACATGATTTATGGGTATTTTACAAGTGATATTATTTTACAAGTGAAATTAGGCCTTGACTGGAAAATCTAAGCTACCTACCAGAACTACCTAGAAAGAACTGAAATGCTCAACAGTTAGAATGGTTACATAAATGCAGGGAATTTTATATAGCCATCACAGGAGATCTATGGTGGTGGTGACAGAGCTGGGCAAAATAATAAGAAAAAAATATAGGAGAAATAGACTATACATAAAGCTGCTCAAAGAATGATAATAAAGGGAACAGATTTTTAGGAAAGGACATATCTAAAACCATATGGTCAAGGAACATATTTTATGAGTTTATTTTAATTATAAAGATATGTAAAATTTTTAAAAATGCTTATACTGTTATTACCTAAGAAACAAGATAACTGAAATGAAAATTGTACAACTTTTAGCCCTTAATGAAACACAGTAAGAAGGGTTACATTTCACCATAACTATATAACTCGGTGAATAAAAGTTCCAGATTAAAGAAAAAAAAAATCCATATTTTTTTCTGTCAAGCGTCAACAATAGAGTTTTAAGGATGATTAATTTTGTTCATGTAGAAGATAATCAACAGTTTGTTTAAATTAACTATTCAAGTTTCTTACAAAGCAAATTTTGTATTTTGGTGTAATTAAAAAATAAAATCTAAAACTGGACATATTTGTATATAAAAGGATAAAAAGTAACTTTAAGAAGTAATTTTCCTAAAAAATAATCAATTTATGTAACTTGAAAAAAAAGAAGTAATTTCCCCCCTAAAGAGTTCCCCCAAAGTCAGAGTCAAACTTAGAGAAAGAAATTAAGAAAAATATTATACTACTCGTTCAAAGCCCAGAGCTTATCTGTTTCTCTTATATCAGCGTATTTTATACATATATATATGCACAGAAAAGGAGCCATGGTAACTTAGAACATAATCTGTTGGGCTCTTAACTGACAAGCCAGCATTTCAATCAAGCCACTCCCTGGCTGAAACCTGGGAAGTCTTCTCTTAAAAAGATTTAGTCTAGGAAACACAGTGGAGGGTAGCTATGAGTCAGAACAGACTGAATGGTAGTGGTGGGTAGATGGGTATGTACATGAACACACATAGGAATGGAAGTCTACACACAGACATACACAATTCATTTACAGAAAAGGAAAAGGCAAAACACTGTGGATGGAAACTTACTCCAAATAAGTTCTCCTCATAAAACAGCAAAAATAGGAATCATCTCTGGATACACTGTCAATAAATGAACAGAAACCTTCTAAAGCACAGTTCAATAGCCTAGATGAATTAATTATGCTCTCTCACCCACATCATAAATAATTTTCACTAAAAGAACAATCTGTCAACACATGCAGTTTAAATTATTAACTACTAGCACCAAATTACTAGTATAATTAGCATGTAAATTTCATGACGGTGATGTTTAAGAGGTTTTAAGTCTTTCACATGTCAGTAAGTAAAATGAAGCATATACTTATACAATGCATAATAGAAAAATAAAATGTCAAAACAAAAACCTCTTTATTATTCAACATGGCTATCATTTATAAAGAAGAATGTGGCACCAGGATTAGATGAACATGCATCAACATCTTGCCTTATGCAGATAACACAACTTTCAGAAAGTGAAGAGGACTCAAAACACTTGCTACAGAAGATAAAAGACTAAATTGGCCTTCAATATGGATTACATCTCAATACCAAAAAAACAACAAAAATTCTAACCACTGGACCCACAGGTAACTTCATGATACATTTTACTTGGACCCACAATCAACATGCATGGTAACCACAGTCAAGAAATCAATAGACATGTTGCACTGGGGTAATGTGCTATGGAGAACACCTCTACCTCTCCAAAGTGGTAAAGAGCCAAGACATCAATTTAAAGACTAAAGTGGTGTCTGATCCAAGCCACAGTCTTTTCAATTACTTGCTATGCATATGAAAGTCAGACAATGAGTAAGGATGACAGGAGAATAATTAATACCTTTAAGTTGTGGTGCTGGAGGAAAGTACTGACTATCCCATGGATGAGTGAACAAATCTGGTTTTGAAGAAAATACAATTAGAGTGTTCCTTAGACACAACGATGGTGAAATTTTGTCTCATATATTTTGGCATATTTTCAGAAGGGGCCAGTCCTTGGGGGAAAAACCACCATGCTGGGAAAGGTCAGGGAAAAAGAAGACTTTCAACAAAATGGATTGATCCAGTGACTGTAACAATGGGCCTGTGCATATCAGAGATGGGGAGGATGGTGCAGGATAGGTCAAGGTTCAGATCTGTTGTTTATAGGGTCACTATGGGTTGAAGTTGAATCAAAGGCACCTAATAACAACATCATGTATAATACAAACCACCGATTAGTATAGTTATTCCTTGGCATCCACAGGGACTGGTTCCTCAAATACTAAATAAAGCCTGTGGATGTTCAAGTTCCTTATGGAAAATGGTGTGGTAAGCACATCTTTCCATATAATTTAAATTTATCTTGATTACTTAGAATACCTAATGCAATGCCAGTGCTTTGTAAACAGCACTTTCTGCTCCGTCTCAGTCTTTGAAGAATTGCTTTTATCACTTAATTTCCCCCTTCTCAAACATTTTTTATCTGAAGTTTAGTGAATTCCTACGGATACAGATGGCCCACTGTATTTGTTTCTCAAAGTGGAATTAGCAGAAATGAAAACAAAACAAAATCTATTCTGATATGAAACTCTCTCTCTTCTATTTATGAGTTGGTTAATTTTTGCATCAGTGAAAAACTTCCAGGCCACCAACAGACGAAATACAACATACAGTCAGGAGATTTAGCACAAGCATTTACACATTACAGGCAGTTCCTGGGTTACAAACATCCAATATACCCACATCTTGGGGGGTTACAAATAGATTCCTATAGAGCTTATTACATTAAAAATTCAAAGGATATGTAATGGTTCTCTGTAACAAATGCACACTAGTTTGTGATGTGGATCAAAACATTTTTTTTTTAAATTATAGTTGTTTTAGTGTATCTGGAAGTATTTTTAGTGGTTTTTTTTAAGTAAGCACACAACAGTACGTTGTATTTTAATATAACATCTGGCAGAATAATATTACATATGAACTGGACCTAACAGAAAATTTTTTAAATAGTTTTACTATAAAAATTAAAAGAAATTAATTTTGTTTTAATGTAAATTTTTATTTTACTTAAAGACTTCCCAGAGGAACAAATTTAAAGTCTGAGGATTGCCTGTACTTAAAATGCAGAAAGTCTACATTCTGCACATTCACAAAGACCTTTTTCTTACCTTTGCCATTTTGCCATGTAGTATACCAGGATAACGTAAGGAATGAGGTGACAAATACTAAAGCAGTGGCCACAGTTCCATTTCGGAGCCTCATCTCATTTCACCATCACACTGGTTCGTATGTTTGTGATGACAACCAGTACTGCTTTCTTTTTATTGTAAAGTCAACTAAATCCAGTGTTCCTGGCTCCAGGCCAAAAAAACATCAATAAGAGAGGTTCATTTCAGATGCTCTGCAGAATGAGTCTAGCAGCAATACTGTTCACCATTGCTATTCATGAGATTTCCAGTTTTCCAATGTTGATGCCTCAAGTTTTTTCCTCCTATTGAGAAGAAAAAAGAACTTTTTCAGTAATGCCAAATACTGGTTTCTTCATTTGTTATTCACCGTTACATATTTCTGACAGAGTTAAACTGTATCTATCAAGCTTCTTTCCTCATTCAATACACTAGAATCATACAAATCCTTTTCCATGGGGGCAGGAAGAGCTTCAAACTGTTTCCTCCTGATTGGTTTGGTTTTATTTATGAAAAAAAAGTTTCTAGTTTTTAATAGGGAAAAGTTGTTGGGCTCATTAATTTGGGGCTATACTTTTCAAACTGAGGACTCCAGTAGTAACACAATGGTTCCTGAGCATCTTAATCATCCCTTTACAAATTTCCTACTGCATATCATAATAATACTTTTTAAAAAATTCAGAATTTGACATATAAAGATCAAAGATTTAGGTCTTAGACTCATTACATAACATGTCAGGCACATCACATACCTAGGCCTTGTGACTGTACCCAATTCAATTATCATTGGCAAATACAATCTATCCTGTCTCTTCTTCTATACATTACCATAAATAACAGATAACAGTTATTATTAACTATTTCATCATCATAAAATAAATCTAATTTATCCAGTGATTAACCTACTCCAAGGGAATAATATACTGGCATTCAGAAAATGCAGCAATCTAAGCAGGATACTTGGAAGACCTAGGACTCACATTAAGAAGCACTGATTGTCCTCAGAAAACATAGGAAATCACCACGCATCAAACCAAGATGTTGAGAGAATGAAATGAAATTGGTAAAAACACCTAAGCCTACCATCAAGCACTTAATAGTGTCAAAAATATGTAAACTGCTTTGGAAGACAAGACACCCACAGCCATCCATCCATGCAGTCCATTCCATGTAGAGAGGCCCCATTCCCTGGGAGCTTTGCAGGCACTCAGAAATGTGCACTGATACTGGGGAGGCCTCGAGGGAATACAAGATGCAATTGGCAAAATGCTAGATGATAATTAGTGAGTGGAGTTAATGCACCTCAAAAATGTCTAACAATCCCAAGGGACAATTCCCTCACTGGAAGAGTATGGCTGGTTAAAGCAGCCATTTTGCAGACACTTCAGAAATTAGCATGCCAAATATTTAATTCTTTTTATCCATTATTTTAATTGACTTCTATAGTATTTTTTAAAACTTGACTGACAGTTTACAAATAATACATTTTCATTTGATTGTACATAGAAATTTTGTTTTATAATATTAAAGACAATTGTTGTTGTTATGTCCCGTCAAGTTGTTTGTGACTCATAGCGACCCTATGTCCAAGAGCCCTAAATCCTGCTCTATTCTGTGCCAACCTCACTGTCTCTGACACACCTACTCCCACTACCCCAATCACTGAATCGATTCATCTCTTCGAGGGTCTTCCCTCTCCTACGCTGTCCCTCCACTCTTCCAAACACGATGTCCCTCTTCAAGGACCAGTCCCTCCTTGCAACATGCCCAAAGTATGTCAGATGAACCTTCAGAACCCTTGTCTCCAAGGAGCATTCCAGCTTTACCCTCTCCAGGACAAACCTGTTTGTTCTTCTAGCAGTCCATGGAATATTCAACACTCTTCTCCAGCACCACAGCTCAAAGGCATCAATTCTCTATCATCCCTGGTCACTATTCAGCTCTCTGATGCATTGCATGCAATTGCGAAGACTATAGCCTGCATCAGGCGCACCTTTGTTTCCAGCCTGATGTTGTTGCTCTTCAGTACTCTTGAGAGATCCCTGACAGCTGACTTTCCCAATGCAATTCGTTTCTTGATTTCTTGGCTGCTGGTACCAAGAGTGCTGACTGTGGAGCTAAGCAGACTAAAATTGTTAACTATCTCTTCACCATCCATACTGTTGCTACCAAATGGCCCATTGGTAAGAATCTTTGTTTTCTTGATGTTGAGCTTCAATCCACATTGAAGGCTGTAGTCCTTGACCTTCTGCAGCAAGCACTTCAGGTCCTCCTCAGTTTCAGCAAGCAGGGTTGTGTCATCTGCATAACACAGGTTGTTGATGTCTCTTCCACCAATCCTGAAGCCACATTTCTCCTCGTACAGCTCAGCATCCTGGATGATCTGTTCTGCACACAGATTGAAAAGGTATGGAGACAAAATACATCCTGGTGGACCCCTTCCCAATTTTAAACTGTGCAGTGTCTCCTTGCTCTGCTGTGACGACTGCCTCTTGGTCCAAGTACAGGTTTTGCATAAGCACAATCAAATGTTCTGGGATTCCCATTTTTCTCAGAGTCAGCCACAGCTTTTGTGATCAACATAGTCAAAAGCCTTTGCATAGTCAATGAAACACAGACAGACATTCCTCTGGTACTCTCTGCTTTCTGCCAAGATCCATCTATCATTAGTTATAATATCCCTAGCACCATGAACTCTTCTAAATCCAGCCTGCACATCTGGCAGTTCTCTGTTGCCATGTTTTTCCAGTCATTTTTAGGTAATTATCAGCAGAATCTTGCTTGCATGGGATATTAATGATATTGTTCGATAATTTCCACACTCTGTTGGGGCACCTTTCTTTGGAATGGGAACAAATATCCATCTCTTCCAGTCAGTTGGCCAGCTGGCTGTCCTCCAGATTTCTTGACACAACCTAATGAGCACATCCAGCGCAGAGTCTGTTTGTTGAAATGTCACTTGGTATGCTGTCAACTCCTTGGTTGTTTTGGGGTGTTTTTCCCCCCAATTCTTTCAGAGCAACTTGAAATTCCTCCTTTATCAGCACGGGCTCTTGCTCATACATTATTTCATTAAATTCTTCTGTGTCAGCCAATTCTTTCTGGTACAGTGACTCTGTATACTCCTTCCATCTTCTTTTAATGCTTCTTGGATCATTTAACATTCTACCCAAAGCATCCTTAAGTACTGCCACTCGTGGCTTGAATTTGTTTCTCAACTCCTTCAGCCCTTTTGATTTGTTTCTCAACTCCTTCAGCCCTTTTGATTTTGACTCCAGCTTTCTGCACATTTCATTATAGTATCTTGCTTTGTCATCCCGGGCTGCCTTTTGAAATTTTCTGTCCAGCTCTTTCATTTCTTGATTTCTTCCTTTAACTTTGGCTTCTCAGCACTCTACTGCAATATTCAGAGTCTCATCTGACATGCACCTTGGTCTTTTCTTCCTCTTCAGCCTCTGTAATTATCTTTTGCATTCTTCATGGATGATATTCTTGATGTCCTCCCACAGTTTATTTGGTCTATGCTCACTGGTGCTCAAGGGCTCAAACCTGGTCCTGAAATGGTTTTGAAATTTGAGTGGGATGGACTTAAAGTCAAATTTTGGCTCCCAGGGATTTAATTTTCTTCAACTTCAGCTTGAACTTGCATATGAGTACTTGGTGGTCTGTCCCACAATCAGCACTTGGCCTGTTTTTCACAGTTGATATTGAGCTTCTCCAGTGAGTCTTTCCATAAATGTAATTGATTTGATTCCTATGCATACCAACAGGTGAAATCCATGTGTATAGCCTGCGTTTGTTTTTCTTATAAAAGGTATTTACAACGAATAAATCATTGCATGTGCAGAATTTTATCATTTGATCTCCAGCCTCATTTCTGTCACCAAGTCCATGTTTTCCAGTTACTGACCCTTCTTTCCTATTCCCAACTTTGCGTTCCAGTTGCCCATTATTATCAATACATCTTGTTGCATGTTTGATCAATTTCTGACTGCTGCAAAAGTTGGTAGAAATCTGTCATTTCCTCCTTTTTTGGCTCTAGGTGTTGGTGCATATATATGAATGATAGTGGTATTCACTGGACTTCCTTGTATGTGTATAGATATTATCCTGTCACTCACCACATTGTATTTAATGATGGATCTAGAAATGACTTTTTAAATTATGAAACCAACCCCATTTTTTTCTCACCCCTGGTATAATAGATCACATGATCATCTGATTCAAAATGTCCCATGCCAAGCCATCTCATTTCACCAATACCTAGTATGTCAATATTTATGTGTTCAATTTCTTTTTAACAGTGTCCAATTTTCCTAAATTCATGCTTCTCACACTCCACATTATAATCAGTAGTGTCTGCTTACAGCTGTTACTCCTTCTTTGTGTTTCCATATCTAAGATTTTAGTCTCAACTTCCATGTCTGCTAGTGTAAGTGCTAGTCTAAGTGTGCTCTATTGTACATAGGGTTTTCGAAGGCCTGTGATTTCAGAAGTGGATGGTCAATCCTACTTCCTAATCTGTCTTAATTTGTGGGTTTGTTTTTTTTTATAATAGTATCTAATAGACAAGCATTTTACAGAAAAGAGCAGATTAAAGACATTTACCCAATTATAAAAATGACCAATAGATTCAATGTGTATTTTGACCCACTCCTTTCCCTACTCCACTACCATACCTTCCTACTTCTGCCTACAGCAACCATTCAACACCTCTCTCCCCTTGACCAGCCCTTGATGTGATGGCTTAAGTCTGAAGCCATCAGGATTTCTGTGATTCTGAACACCTCATGTTGCTGCCAGTCTCTTATGATGCGGCTAGTATCTCTTCAACTTAAAAGTCTCTAAGTACAACTGTCAGGTACAAGTTAAGGATGGCTTCTTTTCTCAGAAAGTTCTGAGAAAAAGTCCTTTGCCTTGAACTTCAACTCCAAGATTGACTTCTTGTGGGTTAATAGCTCTTCTCTTTCATTTGCAGCCAGGTGCTAATGCAAGAGGATAGTTTCCAGGAGGGAGCATGTGTCCTCCAGGACAGGTACACAATTTTTGTTTCTTGGCCCGAGACCCTGTCGCCCTTGGGCCCAAAAATATTTTATCTGGGAGCTCCAGGCCACAGAGGCCTCTGCACCTGGAGCAAGATGGCGAGGTCAGGAAGGCTCCAAATCCATCTTCTCCCCAAGTCCCAAAACTATCTTATCTGGGATCGTG